CACCTGGCATGAGTTTTAAGCTGCCAGATCCAGGATTCGAATTCTGGTCGACTACATGGGAGTCCAGTGATATAACCATTATGCCATCTGCTGGTCCCTTGTTATTAGTTTTTAATTCACTATAGGGCTCGTGCACTCACCAGAGAGGGACAGAGAGAAACAGAGAGAGAGAGAGAAAGTGAGAAAGCAAGCCACCAGGTTCAGGACTTGAACCATGATTAGCCATGTAGGAATCCAGCCCCTTAACCACCATACCACCTGCTGGGCACACATCACCATCCCCCACCCCAGTATGTTCTTTTAAAGTAAAAAGTATTATCTAATCTAATTTGTGGGGTTTTGCGTTTGCTTTCAAGAGTATATGAAGGAGAACAGCAGATGACATGGAGGTTAAGGCACTGGACTCCCACAGGACTGACCGCAGTTTGAGTCCCAGACCTCGTAGCTTGAAAATCACACCAGGTGCATGTGCATGCATGCCCCAAATCCTGAGAGAATGGAGGAAAAGGAATTGCAGCATGGCCATCCCTCCTGCCCTCGGGGAGTGATTTCTCACTTCCTCTACTTGTCTCCCTCTAGCGAGTACTACAGCAAAATTTTAAAAAATTAAAAAAAAAAAAAAAGTACATGAAGGTGAAAGATGGAGTGAGGGACAAAAGACTCTTAAACTACACGTCTGAAGTGAGTTGAATGCTGACACCTGTGTCTGGGCTTCATGGGGACCATGTCTATTCTGGTGGTGGTTTCCTACCTTTGACTTTGTCAACAACAATATATGGTGATTTTTAGGCTTCTACCAGGTGGTGTCCTCTCTCTTTTGGGGACCGCTTTCTATTTCTGGACAACTCTCCTGGAGCCCAGATTTGAGTCTTCACAGGCAAAGACCATTTCTCTAACTCAAAATGCAGAGTGAATGTTCTGCAGCAGAGGGATGCACTCAGAAGAGGGCTTACCATTGACCACAACATAAAGATAGCAGTGGGTGAATCTGTAGTGTGCCTGTTTTCCTTGCAAGTTAGAAAATAGTGCAAAGCTAGAGATGATACTGAAGCCACTTATTCAGTACACATTTACAGAATGCCTGCTGTTTACGAGATCCAGGGCAAGGCACTTGCATGATAAAGATAAATAAGACAAGATCCCTACCATCTAGGAACTCTTGGGGGAGGAGGAACATTCACACAAAGAGATAATTATAAGATTTGGCTTGTGCCAAAAGATGAGAAGTGTCCTGTTAATAGATTTTGAGAAAGCGTCCATGAAATGAATACTTTTAATCAAGCATTGGCCATGCGAGAGAGGATGAACTCCCTCGATGGAGGTCCTTAATTGCATGAACAAGTGGAGGGAAACTTGAATGAGCTCACGCATGTGTAGAAGGCTAGAGCACTGGGCGTCTGAGGACAGATGGTTCTAGATAAGGTTGGTGTGGTCCACGAGGGGAAGGCCCACCGTAGACTCGTTAGCATTTCATGGCAGTGACCTAGCACTGCCCTTGGCGCTCCTGGGGGTCTGAGCTTCCTCTTCCACATCCTTGCCCACTGTCCAAACAGCCCGACTTCTCACAGCATCCTGAGATGATGTGGTGCCTGCAGTGTTGAAACACTCCATTTTTAGAAGATTTCAAGCAAAAAAAAAAAAAGAGAAATAGGAAATGTAAGACTCTCTGGAGGATATTTCTTTTTTTAATGGCGGTGTTCCACAGCCTTCAAACAAAGCCATGAAAGAAAAGCCAACAGGACTATCTCCCCTTTGGGGTTGGACCCTTCAAATCATTGTGACAGAGAAAATTACTTGGGGAGGAAAACTAGAGCCACAAATATCTAAGGAAGGTCTTCAAATTCAAAAAACTGAGGGAATTAAAAGGCATTAAATTCTCATAAAGACTTCACTACATTAATTTGGAGTAGGCCAAGCATGGAGCTAAATCAGCAAGTACCCGCCAACTCTCTTGGGTGCCCAATGAAAAATTCTGTGTGTTTGTGAAGGCATGAGGGGTGGCTTTATTGGGGCTGGGGGCTGGGGGGACTTTATGTCTGCTGGTGCCCTGTGCCTGCCCCCTCGGCTTTACGGCAGAGCATCTGATTTCTGTGTGGGGCTGGTTCCTGGCCTCACTGGCCCTCCCCTCCCTGCCTAGAATCGGACATGGGGCCTCCTGGGAAGCCAGCCTAATCCTCACAGCAAAGGGCGAGCTTCGCACAACTTCTCAGTCCTAATGGTAATGAGTGAAACCACATCATCTGTGCTCGTCTGGTATACCCTTTATCTCCTGTAGGCCAGACTTTTTGGAGAAGATTGGTCTTTTTCTTTTTATGTCACTCAATGCTCACTGAGGTCCCCCTTGTGTCATGCTCCGCTCCCCTACTTACCATCGTTCCGTGAAACATTCTCCCTTTTCTATCAGGTATTTTACTGATGTCTGCATGCCTCAGCTTCCCCCAGGGGACCAGACTCAAGACCTCAGACATGGGTTCAAGCGAACACTAGTGTTATTTTGCCGCCTTTGCCTGAGACTCACGTGCCCTCGCTCACATCCCCTCCCTTCCCGAGAGAGGACCTCCTTGGTGTGTTTCTGTTTTATGTGTTCTGTCAGACGTCACCCACAAGCCGAGGCAGGGCAGCCTTGCTCTCAGAGTACTGTGGCTGTAGAATTCTTAAGCATCTCTGTGGGTCCCTGAAGAGGCCTTTCATCTCCCAAGACTTTCGTAGTCCACAGAAATGCTTCGGTGTTGGCTGGGGAGTCTTTGTGAAGCCTGCATTCGTCCCATCCCTGTGCTTGCTAGCTTTATTTGGCCGTTCATTCACAGGCACCTAGGAGCGTCTGCTGTGACCCATGTGCTGGGTGGGAGCTCTGCACTCACCACCAGCAAGGCTGGTGGAAGGAGCCCAGGCCCTATCAGCTGAGGTGAACATCCCTGATGGGACCATACCCTCACACCTAACTTTCTTTTCTTTTTTTTTTTTTAATAATTATTTTATTGAACTTTATTTATTTATTTTAATTTGACCAGAGAGAAAGAGAGGGAAGGTGAGAAAGCAACCCGCCAGGTCTGGGACTCAAACCACGGTTGGCCATGTGGAAATCCAGTGCTCTTAACCACCATGCTACCTGGTGGCCCCACCCACACCTAATTTTCTAAACCTTATTTTTATTGTATTGTATTTTATAATTTCTTACTTACACTCGATTGTTGTACATCTTTGTGGGGGTATAATAGAGAATTTTAAAGCAGGCGTGAAGTGCTCAATAATCAAATCAAGGGCAATGCCATATACATTGTTTTCCACAAAGAACGCCGCATTGTGATAGGTACCACTAATTTGTGCTCTACTAGTTGTTCTTTCTTTATTTTCCTTTTTTATTTATTTATTTTTTTAATATGCACATAAGATTGGCAGTCTTTATTCTCTCTCACTCAGTTGTGGTATGCCATTCCACAACCCATTTGCCTGGTCTCCCTGCATTCCTGTGTCTGTTAAATGCTTTTTTTCCCTCATCCCCTTTTATCCCTCATATCTATGCGCCCACCCCCCCGCCACCCCCGCATGCAATCTCTTGTACCTGTAGTTCTCTACTTTCCTCTCTGCTACCGTGTCTTCAAATTTTCTGCCACAGAGTGCAGACATCCAGTATATATTGTGTGGGGACATGACAGTGTTTGTCTTTCATCATCTGGCTTGCTTCACTTTATAGCATCTAGATTCAGCTATTTGTATTGAATGACAGGAGCTTGTTGTTCTTTATGACTGAGTAGCATTCCAATGGTATGTATGCGTCACATGTTTTGAATCCAGTCATCAGTTGTTGAACACTTAGCTGATTCCGTGTCTTAAATGATCGTGAATAACGCTGCAGTAAACCTGGATGTGCAAGTGTCTTTCCCACTGAGTTGTTTTCCTATCCTTTGGGTAAATACCCAGGAGTGGGATTGCTGGGTCATATGGTACTCGTCTTTCTAGGTTTTTGAGGAAACCTATATTGTCCATATTGTTCTCCACAGAGGCTGTACTAATTCACATTCCCACCCACAGTGCAGGAGGGCTGTCTTTTCACCACGGCCTACCAGCACTTGTTCTTCATTTGTTTTATCGTAGCCATTCTCACTGCGGTTAAGTGATACCTCATTGTGGGTTTGATTTGCATTTGCCTTATGATACGAGATTTGGGGTATTGTTTCATATTCTAAGCCTTATTTTGAAGCATATGAGGGGGTTTCAAAGAATGTATGAGTAAATAGAATTCAACTACAAGTTTATTTTGGCACAAAGAAATTTGACATCAATGTAGAGTTTCTTCATAACACACATTTTCAGTGAACCTTTGAAGACCTCCTTCAAACCCCCTCCATATCATTTGACAAAGATTTTTCAGCTGTTCTAAGAGCATCCGAGGTAGTATTGTTTGGATGGTGAAATGCTGAAATTTCTCTGGATTTTCAGTGGTGTGGATAAAATCAGACCAACTATAACCTGAACCGAGTAGGACAATGCAGGTGCTGTGATTCCAGTCATCACAATCAATCCCAGGTGCCTCTTTAAAATTATGTTTTAATTTTTCACTTTCCCATTTAGATCATCTTGGACAGGTGATTTTATAAGACATTTGTTACCTGACATGTGTGTATCTTTCAGTAAGAAAAACATTTTTTAAACATATTTGTGTAATACTCATGGCGCTATTCACTTTTAGGACTTGAAGCTTGATATTCAACTTTTTTAATGTTTTCATTCAACAATTGCCTTAAAGGGGAAAAAAAAAAAAAAAAAGACCCAAAGCTATGAAAGCTCCTTTGAAAACACTGCAGGGATTGAAAGCAGAGCTTGAACACCCCAGGCATTTTATTTAGTCAGCAATGCCTTTCTGTAGGGTTTGCTCCCCTTGAAACATCCCTTCGGTTGTGTTCTGCTTTGCTCCTCTCTCCCCGTTCCCTAAACACCCCTGCCCGGGTAGTCGCAGTCCCTCGGACCCTCACTGCTATTTGTTTCTTCCTGTGTTCTAGTCTCCGTCTCCTGGCAGCTCGTCGCCCCTGGGTGCAGAGTCATCGAGTACACCCCTCCATCCCAGCGACCCTGCAGAAGCCTCCACAAATAAAGAGGTAGGCACCATGGGAATTCCAAACCATCATCCAGGCTCGCTTCATTCTGTACTGATACTGCTCTGTGCTTTCTCCAGCCCACTGCAAGCTCCTCACCCCAATTACCCTGGGAGACAAAGTGCCATTTCTCCTCTGCGATGTGCACTTTGCCCATTACAGCCACGCCATCCAACTTCGTGGCCACTAGCCACAGGTTTCTAACTAATGAGTAAGATGAAAAATGCACTTCCCCAGACACCCTAGCCACAGTTAAGGGGCCGAGAAGCCATTTCTGACTGGTGGATGGTCTATTGGACAGGGCCAATGACAGATCACGTGCATCATTGTAGAAAGTTCTATTGGACAGCACTGGACATCGGACAGCAAAAGTCCAGCATCCTCCCTCTTGGCGTATGTGCCTTCTGGTGCCATGGGTTTGCAGTTGCTGGGTGGTTCAGGAAACGTGGTGGTTGCTTAAGTACCCATTTATTTCAGGCCCAAGTGAAATACCTCTCTTAAGACTGGGTGACCACAGGTCCCAGTAAACTGGTTGCCTTCATACCTGTTGTCCGAGAAGCCCACCAGGTTACCACCCCTTCTCTCTCTCTGAAGCCGCGCAGTCCAGGGGTGTTCTCCATGATGAGGGGACTGTTCTACTTCTGTCCTGCACTTAGTGATCAGTAGCCCCATAATCCATTAAGCCCTTGATAGGTGGCCAGAGTGACTGAGGAACTGAATTTTTCACTTTGCTCCATTTTTTTAAAAGAGATTTTTTTTTTTTTTTTTTTTTTTTTCTTTAGGGCACATA